AGTTTCAAGGCACTCCCCTTGTTGCCTCAGCCAGTATCGGAATCCTCGGCGTCGTCGGGACATCCTCGTCGGGACAGTATTTCATGCCAGCACACCGCCTGCAACTTTACAAGGCGCAGGTTCGGCCTCACATGGAATACTGTTCCCATCTCTGGGCAGGGTCTCCCCAGTGCCAGCTCTTTCCACTTGACCGCATCCAGCGCAGAGCGGCTCGAATCGTCGACGACCCAGTCCTTTCCGATCGGCTAGATTCATTGGCACTGCGAAGAGATGCTGCATCCCTTTGCATTTTCTTTCGCATCCACCACGGGGAGTGCTCTGAGGAATTGTTCGGATTAATCCCAGCCGCCAAATTTCACGAACGCACATCGCGGCAGAACCATCCACACCATCTGGATGATTGGCGGTCCACCACTGTGCGATTTAGAAGATGTTTTCTTCCTCGCACAACTTCCTTGTGGAATCGATTACCCTTAGCGATTTTTCCGGACCGATACGACTTAGGGACCTTCAAGAAAAGAGCCTGCTCCTTTTTAAAAGGCTGGCAACGCATCTGCGATTCCCCTGGTTCCCCTGGTGTTGCAGTTGTTCATGGGCGGCGGTAGTCATTTACCATCAGGTGAGCCGCAAGCTCGTTTGCCGCCTCTCCTATAAAAAAAACTATTTTTACGGATTTCCGTTAGCCGCACTACCCTCTCGAGATCGATTACCCTTTCTACTACAGTTCGCCTAGGGCCGTAGCACCTAGGGCTGTATTGTTTATTGCGATCTGTAGCTGCTGAAATTTCCATGACGCGATGGGAACGATGATCCTGCCGCACGGCTTCCACCTCCAAGGCGTCCTTAAGCGTCTCGTGGTGCCCGAGCCTCACAGCAGCTCTGACTTTAAGGTCGCGGATGCTGTCGATGAATGTCTGCACCAGGTTCCCTTCAATGAGCTCAGGTACAGACTGGTATGCTTTTTGAACCAGCTTCCCCACCTCAAGGGCCTACTGCTGTAGGTTTTCGTTGCTGCGTTGCTCGCGATCTTTGAGCTGCGCACGAAAGACGTGTTTCAGGTGAGCGTCACCATATCTCGCCTCCAATGCCTCAAGGATAAGCTCGTAAGTAACTTCCTTACCGAGAGCTTCCAGAACAGTTAAGGCCTGGTCACGCAGGCCTAGGGTGAGAGCAGTCATGGCCTGATTGTTATTCCAGCCGTTTGCCTTCATGACAGCCTCGAACTGGATCTTGTGGGCTAACCAGGACAAAGTACAAAGTAAAGTTAAGACCTATACGTTGGGAGGCACTATTAAGGTCATTGAGCATAGTGCTTAAGTCCTCCAGCGATTCTGCCATAGGGACTATATCGTCGGCAAATCGAAGGTGAGTGATGTACTCGCCATTGACGTTAGTACTGTATCCTTTCCTGTCCAGTAGCTTGAAAACTAGCTAGTAGCTAAATGTAGCTAGAGTTTCGGGGATATAACGTCACCCTGTCTTGCACCTCATGTATTATGGTTTGTTTCAAACAAAGACATTTAAGTAGTAGTAGTAATAGACCGGACATCAGCAGCAAAATTATCGTCTGTAACTTATGTCCTATAGGATATATCTCCGATTTTTGTCATTTAATCTTCAAAAAGTCAAGACGCATTCGTTTCATATATTTAAAAAATATTTTTAAAGAAAATATGCCCGGTTGTACATTAAGATATTACAAGTCACGATATGGAGCAAAAAATGAACGTGATTTCAGTTTATTATCGTAAGTATAACATATATTTACCGAATAATCTTTAAATTTTATTATTTCTAGTAGTTTGTTCTAGAACATTTATTTTTATTGTAATAAGCGCCCTCTGTTATCCAGTAAACGTCGCTATTTAGTTACCAATGTTAAAGTTAGTAACTGACGACGTTTATCGATTGGGGTTTATCGATAAAAAATATACATGATGCCGATTTAATCCTTTACGATATTTAAGGAGGTAAAACAGTCAACGATACCGTATCCATACCAACAAAAATGAGTAGCATATACCAACTATGCTAAATAGCCTACTTTATGTGGAGCAAGGGTGGGAAATTTTTTTAGGCATGCTGAAGATATTTCCCATGTTGCTTATGAGCATGCTGAGGATACTTGCTGTGGTGATGTTTAGCAATACAGCAAGTCTTCTCTTTTACATACCAGGCTTCATTGTCTGGTGATTTTACACCGGGCTTCATTGTCTGGTGGTTTTCAAGGACAAAGCCATTATAGATCCTGGTTTACAGTGATAGGAGAGGGCTATAGGTTTGTTACATTATAAACAATTTGTACTGTTAAAGATAATAGATGCAAGAAGTTGTAGGTTAAGCCTGAATTAGAAAATAAGGTAAAAACTTAAAATAACAATTTTTATTGATGTGGATAGTGTGTTTAAGTACTGCAGCCGATGAAACGTGAAAAATCGTTAAACGGCTCTTAAGTTCAGTGTTTTCCTAAAACATTTTAGATTTGAAGGGTATTTTTGTAAAAGAAACGAATTTAAAAACATAGAGGCGCTCTCTTATTAGATTTGGCGTTTCTCGATGTCTCTTTAACGCCGACCGATCAATCATATGCTATTATTATAGCAGCTACTCGACCGAGTGACGTTATCCAAGATGCCACCAAGGTGGCAACCAAAGTGACTGCTGTTTGAATTGATTCTTAGTTACTGGAAATTAAATATTTTATTTCATGACACTAAAGAGGTATAAAAAGGTAATATGATTTTTTCGTGTGATGGAAGTCATGATAAATAGATTTATACAATAAAACAATCATTTATATTCCCTATTATTATATCGAAAAGCATTTCAAACCTAGTAACCTTCAACAACATTATCGATACTTTGATATCGAAACTGTAATATTCCTAAAACAACGTTATATTTGTTAGCGTCACCTACTGGGGAATAGCTAAAATGTTGTCTTAATAAATGCTTAGCGTTGTTTTGCTAGTTTTTGCTAGAGGGCGCCACACGCACACTAGCTCAAAGTTTTTGTATATAAATGTTCCCATAGATTATTCCATAGAGATTTAAAATATATATATATATATTTTAAATAATATATATATTTTAAATCTCTGGTTTCAAAATTTCTTCACAATATAATGTTCATGCGTCACATTGTCAGCATATATGGACGACTATAGCACAAGAATATAAAATCAAGCAGAATGAAAGCTTCATATTACTGCCGTGCGCGAGAATTATTACATGCACAGCTATGTGTGCGTGACATTAACCGGTTTGAGCCCTCTCAGTGAGCCACAAGTTAAGGTGTGCCACTGGCAGCGACACGACGACGCGGAGATTTATTTAACACTGACTGTCCAGTTTGCACACACAATAGTAAGACAATAGCAATGAATTACATGCAGCATAGCATAGCATTAAATATTCTTAATATTACCTATGGTTTGCCAAATTACCGCCTATATTTGCGTAAGTATTATTGATCGTCTCCTATTTCTTTCGTACTTATTTTTGTTTTAGTAGATACTAAAGTGTGTTTGTAGGCTGTTTTAGCAAGATTCCGGTTGACTTTTTCTATTAGATTTTTTTTCATATCTAACAATGAAATGTGGGTACCTACCTACTTATTTTTAAACAAACTGCTAAAAACATAATAACACAACCTGTTTAGGCCCAAACATGGGCATTTGAAACGTCATCCGATCGTGTTTGACTCAGTGCATCGCCCGGTGGTGTCGAGGTGAGGTAAACGCCGCCGGGGGGGGGGGGGGGCGTGTGCCGGCTCCCCGTTATTCCGGCCGGCGGTCTGAACAGTAGCTTGACAGCAGCGGCGCTGCCGATTAGCGAATTTTTGTGACCACTGCATCGGTTTCGCGCGGCCAGGTTTTTGGTTTTGATGGTCTTGAATTTGATTATTTGTGCGCGTTTAATTTAACTATTGAATTTGGGTTTCGTGTAGACCGCCTCGAATTAGTTTGTCGACTGTTGTGTGAAGAGAAGAGATCGCGTTCGTTCCCTGTTTGTAATTTGGTGCTAAATGAACCCGGAACCTTGAATATTGAACTTTGAGCGACTGTTCTTTACTTGTGTCGGGTGTCCGTGTTTGATTTCGATGAACGTAGAATTTAGTTGAGTTTGAAGTTAGTTAAATGTACAATAAATTTGATGGATTGAAATAGTGTACAATAAAGTTGATAAACTGAAATAGTGAAATTAAGGCAGAAATTTTCCATGGGTGATCCACGACTTCAGGGAGCGCGCATTGGGAGAACATCAGCTCCGGTGGATTTTCTGTCCGATTAAATCGGGCCGTCAGGTCACATATATAAACACTACTCCACACAACTCACATGCACATACTTAACGCCTGACCGCGCCTTGGGGTCGGCTCTCGGTTCGGAACCAGGTAAGTTCTTATTAACTGCCTAGCCTTATATCTATTGTGTAGAATAATAAGTCTCCATAGGCCGTTGGGCTCCACCCTTAGTTGTTCGTCGAATCTACCGCTGATGGGCCCCGGGATATTTGACCTTTGTCGGGACAGCTAGGGGCGTGTACACAACCATTTCGTCTTTCAAAGCTACCTACACTATTTTTTAAAGTTCCGTACCATAATTCTAAAACGGAAACTTATGGGACACCTCAGTTACAGTGCCTGTCTGTCTGGCCATCCGTCTATGCTCATTGCTGAATCCCGACTCGCCCTTGCCCAGTTTTTTGTTTTCGATAACCGAGTGACAGGCCTATGAAAATAGGTAAGAATTTTGAACTCATTTAGGGACCTTTCATTCTGCTGGGTTTTATATTCTTCTGACGATAGTATTTGATATTTCATACACTAATTCGCACCACTTTTACCTATCAAAATTCACTTGATATCATTATTCAAACGAATGAAGAGGAGCAGTTATTCATCGGCGGTCAAGTTCCCGCCAAAACCATAATCTCCATTGTTAACATAAAGAGTTGTATGAAAATGATGATAGGAGTGTTGTTGTGTCTGTTGGTAGGTTTGCTGTGCGTGTGCCGTCAGTGCGCGGCGGAGGCGCCGCAGCTGAACTGTGAGCGCGCGGTGCGCGGCGCCATGTGCGGCGCGGCGCAGCAGGCCGTCGAGAAGATCGACCGCACGCGCGCGCACGCCGGCCGCGTGTTCACCGCCTTCATATACAAGTGAGTCTCTCTACTGCTGCACGTTAGTCTCGCTACTGCTCCACGTTAGTCTCGCTACTGCTCCTGCGGCGCAGCAGGCCGTCGAGAAGATCGACCGCACGCGCGCGCACGCCGGCCGCGTGTTCACCGCCTTCATATACAAGTGAGTCTCTCTACTGCTGCACGTTAGTCTCGCTACTGCTCCACGTTAGTCTCGCTACTGCTCCTGCGGCGCAGCAGGCCGTCGAGAAGATCGACCGCACGCGCGCGCACGCCGGCCGCGTGTTCACCGCCTTCATATACAAGTGAGTCTCTCTACTGCTGCACGTTAGTCTCGCTACTGCTCCACGTTAGTCTCGCTACTGCTCCTGCGGCGCAGCAGGCCGTCGAGAAGATCGACCGCACGCGCGCGCACGCCGGCCGCGTGTTCACCGCCTTCATATACAAGTGAGTCTCTCTACTGCTGCACGTTAGTCTCGCTACTGCTCCACGTTAGTCTCGCTACTGCTCCTGCGGCGCAGCAGGCCGTCGAGAAGATCGACCGCACGCGCGCGCACGCCGGCCGCGTGTTCACCGCCTTCATATACAAGTGAGTCTCTCTACTGCTGCACGTTAGTCTCGCTACTGCTCCACGTTAGTCTCGCTACTGCTCCTGCGGCGCAGCAGGCCGTCGAGAAGATCGACCGCACGCGCGCGCACGCCGGCCGCGTGTTCACCGCCTTCATATACAAGTGAGTCTCTCTACTGCTGCACGTTAGTCTCGCTACTGCTCCACGTTAGTCTCGCTACTGCTCCTGCGGCGCAGCAGGCCGTCGAGAAGATCGACCGCACGCGCGCGCACGCCGGCCGCGTGTTCACCGCCTTCATATACAAGTGAGTCTCTCTACTGCTGCACGTTAGTCTCGCTACTGCTCCCCGTTAGTCGCGCTACTGCTCCTGCGGCGCAGCAGGCCGTCGAGAAGATCGACCGCACGCGCGCACGCCGGCCGCGTGTTCACCGCCTTCATATACAAGTGAGTCTCTCTACTGCTGCACGTTAGTCTCGCTACTGCTCCACGTTAGTCTCGCTACTGCTCCTGCGGCGCAGCAGGCCGTCGAGAAGATCGACCGCACGCGCGCGCACGCCGGCCGCGTGTTCACCGCCTTCATATACAAGTGAGTCTCTCTACTGCTGCACGTTAGTCTCGCTACTGCTCCACGTTAGTCTCGCTACTGCTCCTGCGGCGCAGCAGGCCGTCGAGAAGATCGACCGCACGCGCGCGATCGCCGGCCGCGTGTTCACCGCCTTCATATACAAGTGAGTCTCTCTACTGCTGCACGTTAGTCTCGCTACTGCTCCACGTTAGTCTCGCTACTGCTCCTGCGGCGCAGCAGGCCGTCGAGAACATCGACCGCACGCGCGCGCACGCCGGCCGCGTGTTCACCGCCTTCATATACAAGTGAGTCTCTCTACTGCTGCACGTTAGTCTCGCTACTGCTGCACGTTAGTCTCGCTACTGCTCCTGCGGCGCAGCAGGCCGTCGAGAAGATCGAACACACGCGCGCGCACGCCGGCCGCGTGTTCACCGCCTTCATATACAAGTGAGTCCCTTTACTGCTGCACGTTAGTCTTGTTACTGCTGCACGTTAGTCTCGCTACTGCTCCTGCGGCGCAGCAGGCCGTCGAGAAGATCGACCGCACGCGCGCGCACGCCGGCCGCGTGTTCACCGCCTTCATATACAAGTGAGTCTCTCTACTGCTGCACGTTAGTCTCGCTACTGCTCCACGTTAGTCTCGCTACTGCTCCTGCGGCGCAGCAGGCCGTCGAGAAGATCGACCGCACGCGCGCGCACGCCGGCCGCGTGTTCACCGCCTTCATATACAAGTGAGTCTCTCTACTGCTGCACGTTAGTCTCGCTACTGCTCCACGTTAGTCTCGCTACTGCTGCACGTTAGTCTCGCTACTGCTCCTGCGGCGCAGCAGGCCGTCGAGAAGATCGACCGCACGCGCGCGCACGCCGGCCGCGTGTTCACCGCCTTCATATACAAGTGAATCTCTCTACTGCTGCACGTTAGTCTCGCTACTGCTCCACGTTAGTCTCGCTACTGCTCCTGCGGCGCAGCAGGCCGTCGAGAAGATCGACCGCACGCGCGCGCACGCCGGCCGCGTGTTCACCGCCTTCATATACAAGTGAGTCTCTCTACTGCTGCACGTTAGTCTCGCTTCTGCTGCACGTTAGTCTCGCTACTGCTGCACGTTAGTCTCGCTACTGCTCCTGCGGCGCAGCAGGCCGTCGAGAAGATCGACCGCACGCGCGCGCACGCCGGCCGCGTGTTCACCGCCTTCATATACAAGTGAGTCTCTCTACTGCTGCACGTTAGTCTCGCTACTGCTCCACGTTAGTCTCGCTACTGCTCCTGCGGCGCAGCAGGCCGTCGAGAAGATCGACCGCACGCGCGCGCACGCCGGCCGCGTGTTCACCGCCTTCATATACAAGTGAGTCTCTCTACTGCTGCACGTTAGTCTCGCTACTGCTCCACGTTAGTCTCGCTACTGCTCCTGCGGCGCAGCAGGCCGTCGAGAAGATCGACCGCACGCGCGCGAACGCCGGCCGCGTGTTCACCGCCTTCATATACAAGTGAGTCTCTTCTACTGCTGCACGTTAGTCTCGCTACTGCTCCACGTTAGTCTCGCTACTGCTCCTGCGGCGCAACAGGCCGTCGAGAAGATCGACCGCACGCGCGCGCACGCCGACCGCGTGTTCACCGCCTTCATATACAAGTGAGTCTTTCTACTGCTGCACGTTAGTCTCGCTTCTGCTGCACGTTAGTCTCGCTACTGCTGCACGTTAGTCTCGCTACTGCTCCTGCGGCGCAGCAGGCCGTCGAGAAGATCGAACACACGCGCGCGCACGCCGGCCGCGTGTTCACCGCCTTCATATACAAGTGAGTCCCTTTACTGCTGCACGTTAGTCTTGTTACTGCTGCACGTTAGTCTCGCTACTGCTCCTGCGGCGCAGCAGGCCGTCGAGAAGATCGACCGCACGCGCGCGCACGCCGGCCGCGTGTTCACCGCCTTCATATACAAGTGAGTCTCTCTACTGCTGCACGTTAGTCTCGCTTCTGCTGCACGTTAGTCTCGCTACTGCTGCACGTTAGTCTCGCTACTGCTCCTGCGGCGCAGCAGGCCGTTGAGAAGATCGACCGCACGCGCGCGCACGCCGGCCGCGTGTTCACCGCCTTCATATACAAGTGAGTCTCTCTACTGCTGCACGTTAGTCTCGCTACTGCTCCACGTTAGTCTCGCTACTGCTCCTGCGGCGCAGCAGGCCGTCGAGAAGATCGACCGCACGCGCGCGCACGCCGGCCGCGTGTTCACCGCCTTCATATACAAGTGAGTCTCTCTACTGCTGCACGTTAGTCTCGCTACTGCTCCACGTTAGTCTCGCTACTGCTCCTGCGGCGCAGCAGGCCGTCGAGAAGATCGACCGCACGCGCGCGAACGCCGGCCACGTGTTCACCGCCTTCATATACAAGTGAGTCTCTTCTACTGCTGCACGTTAGTCTCGCTACTGCTCCACGTTAGTCTCGCTACTGCTCCTGCGGCGCAGCAGGCCGTCGAGAAGATCGACCGCACGCGCGCGCACGCCGACCGCGTGTTCACCGCCTTCATATACAAGTGAGTCTTTCTACTGCTGCACGTTAGTCTCGCTTCTGCTGCACGTTAGTCTCGCTACTGCTGCACGTTAGTCTCGCTACTGCTCCTGCGGCGCAGCAGGCCGTCGAGAAGATCGAACACACGCGCGCGCACGCCGGCCGCGTGTTCACCGCCTTCATATACAAGTGAGTCCCTTTACTGCTGCACGTTAGTCTTGTTACTGCTGCACGTTAGTCTCGCTACTGCTCCTGCGGCGCAGCAGGCCGTCGAGAAGATCGACCGCACGCGCGCGCACGCCGGCTGCGTGTTCACCGCCTTCATATACAAGTGAGTCTCTCTACTGCTGCACGTTAGTCTCGCTACTGCTCCACGTTAGTCTCGCTACTGCTCCTGCGGCGCAGCAGGCCGTCGAGAAGATCGACCGCACGCGCGCGCACGCCGGCCGCGTGTTCACCGCCTTCATATACAAGTGAGTCTCTCTACTGCTGCACGTTAGTCTCGCTACTGCTCCACGTTAGTCTCGCTACTGCTCCTGCGGCGCAGCAGGCCGTCGAGAAGATCGACTGCACGCGCGCGCACGCCGGCCGCGCGTTCACCGCCTTCATATACAAGTGATTCTCTCTACTGCTGCACGTTAGTCTCGCTACTGCTCCTGCGGCGCAGCAGGCCGTCGAGAAGATCGACCGCACGCGCGCGCATGCCGGCCGCGTGTTCACCGCCTTCATATACAAGTGAGTCTCTCTACTGCTGCACGTTAGTCTCGCTACTGCTCCACGTTAGTCTCGCTACTGCTCCTGCGGCGCAGCAGGCCGTCGAGAAGATCGACCGCACGCGCGCGCACGCCGGCCGCGTGTTCACCGCCTTCATATACAAGTGAGTCTCTCTACTGCTGCACGTTAGTCTCGCTACTGCTCCACGTTAGTCTCGCTACTGCTCCTGCGGCGCAGCAGGCCGTCGAGAAGATCGACCGCACGCGCGCGCACGCCGGCCGCGTGTTCACCGCCTTCATATACAAGTGAGTCTCTCTACTGCTGCACGTTAGTCTCGCTACTGCTCCACGTTAGTCTCGCTACTGCTCCTGCGGCGCAGCAGGCCGTCGAGAAGATCGACTGCACGCGCGCGCACGCCGGCCGCGCGTTCACCGCCTTCATATACAAGTGATTCTCTCTACTGCTGCACGTTAGTCTCGCTACTGCTCCTGCGGCGCAGCAGGCCGTCGAGAAGATCGACCGCACGCGCGCGCACGCCGGCCGCGTGTTCACCCCCTTCATATACAAGTGATTCTCTCTACTGCTGCACGTTAGTCTCGCTACTGCTGCACGTTAGTCTCGCTACTGCTGCACGTAAGTCTCGCTACTGCTCCTGCGGCGCAGCAGGCCGTCGAATAGTGATTCGTAAAAACTTGTTTTATTTAAATGTGTTGTGTTCGTGTAAACACAAGAAATCATTAAGAATTATTACAACGAACAGAACCACGATACTGTCATTCTACGAGTCTTGACTGACATAGGTATCATGTCTTGCGCACGGCACCTTTTTTTTCTTTTTATAGGGAAATGTCTTCGCATATCTGCCTCGCGGGGCAAAGATAGGTTATGTCGGACTCGCACCGACTAAAACCCCATGGTGTTTCACTTTTGTCGCATATTAGCAGGGCAACGGGAACGCTTTCGCACACATCCGTGGCCTACCAGCGACCGCCGCCCTTTGGCGGCCCTGCCTCGGGAGAGAACTATTGCCCCCTCCCCCCAGCTCCTTCTCAGGTAAAGGTGCACCACCAGAACACATGGCGCGCTTACCTCCGCGGCCTCCAACTTAAATATATATATATATATAATTTTTAAAGTGGAATAATTTATGTTGTATAAATGCTAGGAACAATCACATTTACCAGAGTAAATATTAATTTGTTCATAGGACTGTGAGATTTGGTATAGTTAAAATTTATATGCAGAAGTGCAGAAAGCTAAAATTTATATATTGTATGTGTTACATACAAATACATCAAATAAAATAAAATATGCATTGTTTACGTTCATACTGCTAATGTCTCAGAGTAGCTACAAGCATATGTATGTTATTACTCCTACGGTCTAAGGCCAATATCAAACACTTAATAGTCTGTGGCCAAACAGACGCACAGGGTAGAGATTGTCATTAAATAAGTTCAAAATGTTGCCGACAAATAATTACTGACAGATTGACTGAACGAGCTGTGAAAATTGTTTGAGTGTATGTCAAAGAAATACTTTATATTTTGTATATTAGATACTGTAGCTATAATATTAATGTGCAGTTATATATGTGCTATAATATTAAAGTGAAATAGAGCTTGCTTATTATACAAACAATTATAAAAACAAATAATTTGTGAATTACTCTTGTTTTTCTCTTAATATTGAACTACTAATATTAAAAATGAACGATCGAGGTAATTGCGGTGTTGAGGTGGTTTCAAAATAATTAGTTTAATCTTTAATATTTTTTTAAATAATCAAAAGTATCATCAGTAACTAAACGTGAATAGAACGAAAAACTACTATTAAATGTAAATCTTATTTTGCAGTGACCCCGTTATAATGAACATTCCCCACCATGATGCCCTAAAACGCATCTTTCCCTACGATGAAGTAGAACTTAGACAATCGAAGGATGTTGTGGAAGACTTGGAGCAGACAACTGTCAGCGAGAACTCTAACGTGGTGCTGTGGTTGTTCCCCGGTCACACAATGCCACGATTTGTACAGCTGCTCAGCTTTCCTACCTATAGGTACAGCGTGATTAAGGGATTGATCGTTAGTGGCGGGGAGCTGACTGAAAGTTTAGTAAGTTAATAATAAATGTGATCTTCATACATATTTTGCACATAGTTATCGGCAGTACCAAATTTTTTGCACCATGAGAGGATATGCGGGCGGCGTTTAGTCCATACAAACGTATTTCTCTGTTTATTCCTGGATAATGACACTATAGCAAATATTTTTTACGATTTAATCTATATCTACCCATTCCATGTTCCTACGTTATATTTTTTATAAATTAATTGCTTTAAAAACTACGAGCCTCCTAAAATTACTGAAATTGCCTAGTTATACCGACGTTGTCAGACATCTTTCTTATATTGTTTTCATAAAAGAATATTATAATCGGTCTAGTTTCGGAGTAGGAAGCGGGGAAATAGAGTTCGAGTTGCATTTGTCTCTCTCTGTTGGCTACTTTAGTAACCATTCTTTGTCTTGCTGCCCGCAAATCCTCTTAACAATATTTTTATAATTCGTGAAATTTTAGGAAAACAAGAGCCTATGCCAAAATGTTACTATAAAACTTGTAAACTAACATTTATTTATTTATTTATTTATTTATTTAGAAAACCAACAGCGTATATAGAAAATATTAACATTAATGTAACAAACTAAAAGTATGGCCAATAACAGGTTTCCCTTATATTGTTTGATGGTAGGTGTATTGTTGTTAGAAGAAAAGGAAAAAGAACAATCTAATAGATAAATTATAAGCAAAATTATAAGCAATTCAATGTAATGAAGGTGGTCATAAGTTTACAGATCAGGAGAGATAGTCAGGTAGAATGATATATTACATTACCTTTATATATGTGTATATATATATATATATATATATATATATATATATATATATATATATATAAACATATAAGATATATATATATATACATACATATATATTTACTTATGTATATATACATATTAAATGTTTAAATATATAAACATAATACAAATAATTAATTATAATATATATTAAATAAAATAACTTAAGTACTTATATTTATATTATTAGCCTCAAAAATACATATAGAAGAAATAGATGAGAGAATATATGATTGTATGTGATTTTAACTTCAACTGCTCTATTTCGTAATAGTTTTCTTGATGTAATCTTTAAACGTAAGTTTAGATTTCGCAAAGAGGTCAATGTGTCCAAATTGTTCATTATATGTACGAGCAAGCCGCGAAAGAACAGTGTTTCGACAGTAGTTTGAATGATGCCAGGGAGTTTGTAACAATGTAGTATTACGGGTACGGAATTTTGGAGTACGAAAGGTGATTCTTGAGACAAGATATGGACAGTCAATATTACTGTTTATTATATCATATAACAAAGCCATGTCAAGCAAAATGCGCCTGTGTTCCAGAGATAAGAGATCGTGCTCAGTGCAACTGTCTGTGTAAGTATCGATTTTATTCCGACAGCGAAAGTTAAGGTGATTAACAAATATTTTTTGAATACGCTCAAGGCGGCTTTTGTAGACATTGTACTGTGGAGACCATATTGAACTAGCATATTCCAAAACACTTCTGACATATGCAAAATAAACCATTTTAATTGTATTAATATTCGAGAATGGTTTACAGATGCGAAGAACAAAACCAAGATTTTTATAGGCTTTACTGATAACGTAATCAATGTGTTCGGATAGTATCATTTTATGATCAAAAATTACGCCTAAATCCCTAACACTTACTTTTCGGCTGATTTCTAATCCGTCAAAGTGATATTTATTTAGAATTGGCTTAGATTTCCGTGTAAAACTAATACATTCGCACTTGCTTGCATTGACAGTTATTATATTAATTTCATAATAACAATATAAAATTTAACCATTAACAATAATCAATGAGCACTAACGGTAGCTAACTATAAGGGAATATGTTTTAGTACTTATAAAGCAGTGATGCACAGACTTATTAAGACTAGGGGCCACTCGGGCAAATTATGAACTGATGGCGGGCCGCCAGAAGTATAGGTAATTAAAGACAATAAAGAATTGATAATAATGTATTAAAATTGAAAAAGAATTTATTAATTTGAAGCGTGGCACTGCATAGTGCTTACAATCTTTTTTATATTTGGCTCAAATTTACTTGTAGCAACACGTAAAACTGCTTCCAAACTTTCATTTGCAAGGCGGTTTCGATTTTTTGTTTTATTATTATTTAGTATTGAAAAGGTTTGTTCAAAGGTAACACCAAATAAGCTGGCACATTTCAGAGCGTTTATGCGCAACTCTTTGTACGTATTTTTGTCAATGCAGCAGTAAAAGTTCAGCAAGTCTCCTTCGTTGAATTTGTTGCGTAAATCTTGGTCCTTTTGAATGTCGATAATTTCTAACTGCATTGACTCTGGCGCATTTTCAACTGAAATCGTGAAAGGATTGCTGAATATGTCCAACAGAGGTTTCTCTTTTTTAAATTCCGAAAATCTGTCTTGAAAAGATTGAATCAAAATATCTAGCTTTTCTACATAACTGAAATTAATCGCAGTATTTTTGAAATTTTCAGCCATTTTCTTATAATTCGGAAAAGGATTGTAATTTCCAGAATTTAATTGCGATCTGAAAAGTGTCAGCTTGCGTTGAAAGGATGATACATGAGCGTAGAGCTGGGATATCAGTTGATTTTTGCCTTGAAGCCGTGTGTTCAAGACATTCAAATGATTTGTAATATCAAAAAAGCCAAATCACACAACCAATCAGGATTTTTAAGTTCCGGGACATCCCTTTGCTTTTCCGCCAGAAATATTCCAATTTCTTCTATTCAACTTAGAAATCGTTCCACTGTCAATCCACGAATTAGCTACCTTACTTCTGTATAATACAGTAAATCTCCATATTCGCTTTCGATGTCATCAAGGAATTGTTTGAATTGCCTGTGATTAAGTCCTCGTGATTTTATGAAATTTACAGTCGAAACTACCACTTTCATGACATTTTGAAATTCAATTTTTTTAGAACAGAGGGCTTCTTGGTGTATAATGCAGTGAAACTGCATGAGATCTTCAGCGTTTATGTCTTTTTCTTGCAGATGCTTTTTCAGCAAAGTAACTAGCCCAGAATTGACACCAATCATCGAAGGAGCACCGTCAGTCGCAACTCCCGATAATTTTGATAAGTCCAAATCAGTTTTTGAACACTCATCCAAAAGTACATTGAGTATATCAACTCCTCTGGTTTGACCTTTCAATGAACACATTTCTAATAACTCTTCTAAGACTTCAAAATCTTGAGTAACACCTTGTATGAATATCAGAAGTTGAGCTGTGGAATTAATATCAGTAGATTCGTCTAGTGCTAATTGAAAAAAATTCAATGATCTTAGTTTTTTCATTTAATTGTTCCGCAATATTACCTGACAAAGACATAATTCGTCTTTGGATAGTCATACGATTCAGTTGAATTTTCTCAAACTTTTTTGCTGCTTCTGGACACATTTTCTTAGCGGCAATTTCTATGCATTCTTTTACAAAATCCCCATCATTGAAGGGGCGACTTCGCTTTGCTATCATTCGAGAAATTTCATAACTAACTTCTGTAGCTGTTTCTGAATCTTGAATGGGTTTTGTAAACATAGCTTGCTGACCAATAAGCTCCCGTTTTAAAGACAACATTTTTTGCTTTCTTAATTCGCCTGTAAACTTAGTAAAAGTAGGATGCTGCGTTTCATAGTGCCATTTTACATTATATTCTTTTGCAATCGCAACAGAATTCTTGCAAATTAAACAAACGACTTTGTTATGCGACCATACAAAAAAGTATTTCTCAGTCCAAATTTCTTGAAACTGCCGATTTTCATCTTTAACCTTACGTTTTTTACTAGGCCCTGGCTTGTCTATGTTGCGTTATAATCCTGGCTAGGATTAACACAGCACCTAAAAACAATTACAGTACCTACTTAAATTACCCATCCTTTTTTAATTACCAAAAATAATTGATTAAATAGTTAGGGAAACACTTATTAATAACAGAGTTTTACTTACGATTTCACAACACAATTATACACGGCACTTGACGGGAAATCTACGTTGAATGTGGATCAAATATATGACACCGGCTAGTCGAGTTAAAATCTACACTAGAACTATTGACACTTCACTCAAATTAAAACCGAACTGTCGGTCGCTGCAGTTAGCGTGACTTTAATACCGCGCGTATAGAGTCGAAAACTGTCTGGAGAAATCACGAAACCTACTCTGGAAGCTTCGTGTATCTACCTACGCGAGCAATCGGGAATTCGGGACTATTGCTATCTCGCTTGCTCTAACAATATAACCCGTGGATAAGTCGCCACCGCGCTGCCGTCGTCGCCGCGCCGCGGGCCGCGGCGGTTCCTCAAGAAAACGAATTTAACCGAGATCAGCACGAACATTACCGACCGCTGTTACCGACGCATGCACGGCGCACCGATAAGCGCACTTAAGAGCGCGCGCGCGAGATTCAAATTACTTTTCGAACAAATTTTTTTTTGTTTTTATTCTGGAATATAATTCAATATTTTTCGAATGTACGAGAGTATTATTTTTGCTGTCGGCGGGCCACCAGTATTCGACCGGCGGGCCGCTTGCGGCCCACGGGCCGCGGTCTGTGCATCTACGTTATAATCACTTTGGTAAAAAATAATTAAAAACTCCATAAAGATAAGATAATCATTGGTGGAATATTAATCCATAATGTGTCTTCTCCAGGTGAAACATACTACGCAGTCTCTGTACGCATATTTAAATACGCTACATGACGATAAGGATACGTTAAAATCTATCTGTGATACAATCATCCAGGTGTTCGCGGATAATCTACACGTGAAGCGAATCACCGGTCCTATGTTCAACTTTTTAGACAGACTGCTTAGTTCAGGTAACATATCCTTTCAAATACATCACTTGTACTTTTTTCTTTAACCTGTAAAAGTCTACTGTTGTACATACTTGTAGGCCTCTCCAGTTTTAGGGAGAATTTGTCATCATCGCCCCAATAAACAGGCGGATTAGTGAGTGCAGTACGAGTCGTCTTGCACCTTTGACGTTGCTTACAGTTGCCGCTGTGTGTATTTTACGTCTGGTGTATATGAGATTGTTAAACCTTTAATCTATTGAAGTCTTCTTAGCATTTTCCTTAGCCTTACAACACATAATACTGAATTTCTAACGCCACCTGCTCTCAGCTAGCCACTTGGCCTAAAAGTAACCAGAGGTTGATGTGTTTAAACGTATTCCATAAATTAATGGCTAGTGCCCGACACCGGGGTTATCCTTCGTTGATTTAATCGTGTAGTGGCGGTGGACGAATATCCACTTCTCTATATCATTCCTGTGGGTTTCATAAGAAGCGACGGAAACCAGAAGATGGGCAGCAGCACCTTCCTAAAAACAACTAGAAAACAAAAGTTGCGGTTGCAAACCCGCCTGCCAAGCGTGACAACTATACGAGGCATTCAAGGGGAGCCCCTAAGGAGGCATTCAAGACAGTTCTATGTTCAGTGCAGTGGACTTTAATGGGTTGGTATGAATGAATGAGTTGTCTTACCCGCCTCGCACCGACTAAAACCCTATAGTGTTCGCCGCATGTCAGCAGGGTCACATAAACGCTTTTGCGCACCTCCGCGCCCCACCAGCTGCAGCCGCCCCTCAGAGGCACCTGCGCGTGAGAGAACAGCTCCCCCTATTTTTCTCTTCACGCTAGTCGCGCCGCAACACAGACGCGCTATCCTACGTGGTTTCGATCTCTGTCTGCGCCACAAATTCTCTAAATCCGTCACGCTGTGGTCATGGGGCCAGTATAAAACGTGCACCCGTAAGCATCAGCCTTCCCAGCCTCAGCAACGGTCTAAGTCTCCGCCTTCAATTTTTTTTATACAAGTATATGTAACAAACGAGCACATAGTCCACCTGATGGTAAATGGATGATGTGGCCCATAAACACCTACTCCTGTCCTCTATTGAAAAACCAAAGTGCAGATATGTTGTCACTCTGAGTATTTAATGGGATTATTTATTCTAGGTTTTTAACACTATTTGAAACACAGCAACATTAAGCATTATATTTGTATTCTGTGTAGTCCTTCCCTGGTCGAGTCGAGTCATTTGTGCTACAACCATAATATAGATGCAGCATGGCTCTACTACAATTTGCACTGTTTTCGATGAATCTTAAAATTGAATAATGAATAATTTTGCCACCGGGGCGGCGCCACTAGATATAACATTTGACAGATTTCATAGCGGGGAAGTTAATTTGTTCGGAAATTGTAAAGGTTATTGTTGCTCTCTGCACTAATAACTATATTTTATATTAATAACATTCAAAATAAATAAACAAAACCACAGATATTCATAAAAGTAGAAAAATTTAAAAAAAAATGTTAAAAATGTGCAAAAAAATGAAAGAGCAAACCACTGACGCAATGTTTTGTGTATTAATTTAATACTCTATAAACTGATAAACTTTTATTAAAACCAACTTCTCCATTAAATTACACTGTGTAACAAAAACTTTACGTCAGTGTCAACTAGCGACATCTAGTGAGCAGAAAATTAATAGCCCTCATTTTCAAGTACGGTTCTAGCACATAAATTGAGATTACTAGTAATTTACGTTTATAAATGTGGGAGAATACTCCACTCGTGGCGAGTCTTTAGGCTGGCCCATCACTCCTGGTTATGGTCACTGGTTATCTTTTTTCACCGTGGATGACCAAGCCACGGCTACTAAACTCCCATGACTAGGCAGAAACATAGATCTTAGAGCTACATGCAACTAATTGAAGAACATAGTTTAATTTGTACCTTATTCCGAAAGGTTAGGTCTTAATATTATTATTTTTTTGTTTTAGGTTCTATATCACCAATTTTAGATGATCCGGAGTCAACGTTTGCTGCAAATATATTGAAATATTTACAATTGGAGCTTCGCGGAGGAAAAAATATTTACAAACTTTTGGACTCCATCAATGTTCTGTGTCAATTAATACAGGTATGTTTATTGCAACTGATAAATTAACTTGTGTGATTTTAAACTTGTATAACTCGGAGGTCTTCAAGGTCATAACTATTTAACATTCATGATTACGAGTGAGACGATATTATATACAGTTAGATATTATAATTTATAACCAGGCAGTAGCGGTGTAAGTATATCCACTACCCCATATCGTCCCGTAGGGGTCGTAAGAGGCTACAGAGGGAAACTGAAACAAGAGATGGGTGGTTGCCAATCCGTCTATCATCGCAAAATATGGGCTTATTATTTATTTTTTATTTTTTACGCATTTAAACTTTAAGCGTACGAAGCTCCCGAAAATCACGTCTTTTGTATCGTTATTTATCTGGAATGGCTCCGAACGAAATGTAAACGTTTATCAAATTCACGTCAACATAGATGGCGCACTTTTTGAAAATTGGCTCTACGACTGCCTTTGTGGGCAGTACAGCTTAGACGAAGGCATGAATGTGATGTAAAATTGTGTGTGTTGATCAGGTGGCAGTACAGCTTAGGTGTAGGCATGAATATGAGCTAAGAATGTGCTCGTGAATAAGGTGGCCGTACAGCTTGATGAAGGTATTAATGTGTAAGAATGTGCTTGTTTATTACGTGACAGTACAGCTTATACGAAGGCACAGTCTAACTGCTACCATAAATAATAGTACAAGAACAGAAGAATCATTCTCTGATAGCAAACTTGCAAGCTTAAATCTCGTTACAACTTCGTTAATGAGAGTTTTGGCGGGTACTTGACTGGTGGCGTATTGCTGCTCCTGTATTATTGTTTAAATAATGGTGTAAAGTGGATTTTGATATGTAAAAGTGATGCGATTTTGAGTATTAAATGTCTGCGCATGTGAACTATTAGTGGAAACTGTAAAACAAGTGATCCGATGGTGATGTGAATCTCAAGATAAGGTGTTAGGCGCCTTGAGATACTATCGTAAACTGTCTGCTGGCTCAAGTTGTCGTCAAAATCTCAAAAACTATGCAATATGACGCACCAACATATTATGAAGCAGTGTAGTTTAAAGGATTATTATCACTTAATACTGAGATAAATGAAGACATTGCTTAAAGGCATCAAAGCATCCAAGACAAAAATCTTAATAAATAATTAAAACGTCGTTAATGTTCATAATACTTTGCACGCCTAGGTTTCGACCTTTGTTAAAATAGCCTACAGATTGTTGCGGCGCACGTGTTAAATCAAAATGCACCTTACGTCCGTGTGCGAGAATCTTTATCACTTAGCCCGTTACGCGCATTTTATAAGGCCGATCCTACTGTAGGGTGTGTAGTTGTTGGTTGTAGATTAGCTATTTACTAACATGCGACGGCATTATTAATGAAAGAGTGGCAATGAGAAGTGCTGCTATTTATAATCTCTTTCATCGACCAAGTTTTTAACCACTACATCCTGACCTTGCATTTCTAGGCAATAACTAGTACTGCTGGAGGTCTATTTACACTGAACAAGTATTTAAGGTCATTGACCTAATACTTGAAAAAAATCGAAAACTATGAAACTGTGCTCGGGTCGCTAATCAAATATTAAATCTCTAACTCCATACTCACATACACAAATAATTTCATACAGAAATCCTATACTATATCAGCGGTCATACTTCCGACCGCTGATTAGTATAGGATTTCTGTTTAGATAGTATAGTATAGAGTATGGACTTCAATTTTGGAACCCCTATTTTCTTAAGGATGTAGATTTGCTGGAGATTGTACAAAGAAAAGCCACAAAGATTCCGTTATGCCTACGAATACATACATAAAGCCATACGAAGAGAGATTAAAAATATTGAATCTAACAACCCTGAAATCTCGCCGTATCAGAGACCTTATTGAGACCTACAAAATATTGACACATAAATATAATTGCAAAGAGCTGCCACATATTTTTAATATCAGCAGTATCCCTCGACCTAGACATCCTAACTATATGAGATTCGCCCACACCCGCTCATACACTAATGTGGGACATCATACATTAAATTACAGAATCATAAATATATGGAACAATTTGCCTCAAGACGTGGTTGATGTTCCCTCTGTGATTAGTTTTAAAAACAAACTGGACAAATGGTGTTAAGACAATTCAATTTAGTGTATTTTTAGTGTGAACTTGGACTAATATAAAACACCAACACAGATATAGGTATATCAGCTATAAGCTGCTCGTCTATTACCACATAATTTATTAATATTCCAGGGCGATTGTTTGAGTCCAACCTGGTTCTGCCTCTCTCTGAACCCTCTCAGTACCTTACTGGAGGGCTCCGGGAGGGGATTTCAGCTTCGGAGAGGAGGTACAAAAGTGACCCACCTTTTCTATATGGATGATCTCAAATTATTCGCCTCCAGTCGCTCTCATCTTATGGAATTGCTAAACATCACTTGTGATTTTAGCAATTCTATTAGAATGGAGCTGGGGACGGATAAGTGTGCGATCCTCCATGTCGAAAGGGGAAGGGTTGCTAACTCTGAGGGCATAGACTTATCTATGCCCATCAGCATAAGGACCCTTTCCGAGGCTGAAACATACCGATACCTGGGTATGTCACAGAACATCGGTGTAGATGAGTCGGGTATGAAACGGTCAGTTTGCGATGTGTTTTATGCACGCTTGACCAAAGTGCTTAATAGCCTTTTGTCCGGTGTGAATAAGACGCACGCATATAACGGTTGGATCATGCCTGTTCTCATGTATACCTTTGGCATACTCAGGGGGACTCAGACCGAACTGAACGCTCTGGACAGAAAAGTCCGCACTATAATGACGTCCCACAGGATGCATCATCCGAGATCGTCAGTGATGAGGCTGTACTTGCCGCGAAAGCATGGTGGGCGCGGCTTTTTAAGCGCGCTTATCATGCATAATCGCGAAGTGTGCAGCCTCCGTAATTACTTTCTGACGAGAGCGGATGATCCATACTATAGGGACGTTATTTCTTGTGATAAAGGGCTAACCCCTCTATCCTTAGCCAACGAGCAATGGCAAGACCCGGCAGTACAGAGCATTTCCGACCGGGAGACCGTATGGAAGGAGAAGGAGCTCCACGGGAGGTCCTACAAGGCCCTTCATGAGCCTTTCGTAGACACAGTCGCCTCCCTCCACTGGCTACGTTTCAGTGACCTCTTTGGGGAAACTGAGGGTTTTGTCTGTGCAATACAGGATCAGGTTATTAAGACCAACATTTATCGGAGATACATCCTAAAGGATGGCATCGTCGACATCTGTCGAGCTTGTCGCCATCCCGGTGAGTCACTTAGGCATGTCATCTCCGGTTGTTCGGCGCTTTCTAACTCTGAGTATTTGCACAGACACAACCTAGTAGCCAGGATTCTACACCAGGAGCTCGCTCTGAAATACGGTCTCGTGGATCGGAAACTGCCATATTATAAGTACTTGCCGGAATCCGTGCACGAAAATGACCGCGCCAGGCTCTACTGGGACCGGGCCATCATCACAGATAGAACTATTCTTGCGAATAAGCCTGATATTGTGCTGATGGACCGGGCACAGTCAAGGATATTTTTGGTCGACATTACCATTCCCTATGACGAGAACCTCGTGAAAGCCGAAACAGATAAGCTGACAAAATATCTGGACCTGGCTCACGAGGTGACCGACATGTGGGGTGGTCTGCCAGCCGAAATTATTCCTGTGGTCGTTTCTGCGAACGGGTTAATCCCAGTTAGCCTCTCGGGTCATCTGAGGCGACTGGGACTCCGTGACGGACCGCTCCAAGCTCAAATGCAGAAGGCGGTGCTCCTCGATATCGTCCGCCGGTTTCTTTCCCTTTCCCCCTAACCCTCGGCCGTTTGGTCTCCCCTGCCGAGGGCTTCCATCTGGTTGGGTTTTTTTATATATTTATGTATTTTTTATGTATTTATACTATTTTATTGATATTTATGTATGTTTATATATTTCGTTTATAATTATATATTTAAACAGCCCAACCAGATGAAAAAACTTTATAGATAACCCCAATAATAATAACTATGGAGTCAGTAAATAGGTACCTAATTATCTAGATAAATAATAATATCTTACTTTACGGTATTCTTAGGAATAGTAAAGAATTAAAAGTCGACATTCCTATTGTTATTTAAGCGCCCGTATGCTATGTACCTTTTGGCTTTTTGAGTGGCCAAACTTGAATAAAAACCCAAAAATAAACAACCTCACTGAATTTGCCTCTTTTAGGCGGCCGCGCAGCGTAGGTGTATTTTTATGCCAAAGCACGGAATGAGACAGGCCTGCTGCTACTAACAGTCGGCTATGAAATGCGTTTATACGACGGGGCAATCATGCGGTGCGGAGCTAGACGCGGGCTGAGCGCTCCCGAGCGGTCGTTACTTCGACTAACTTCCGCTTGTCGAGAGCTGTCCGCTAGGGTTGTCCTGGGACGCAAATAAATTTAAATGGTTCACACTACATGTACGGTAAAAACAAACAAATTCAAATGTTCTGACAACCCTAGTAATTTATTGTTTATGTCGGCTTTTCCGACAACATCAAACGCGATCACTGACTGTTTGTTCTTCTTAGGCTGTGACGAAGGCATGAATGTGAGGTGTGAATAGTGTGCATGTTGAGCAGGTGGGTGGCGCGGTGTGCGGCAAGGCGCTGGGGCAGCTGGTGCTGTACCTGTGCTACGCGGACCGCTACGTGCGGCGCTGCGCGGCGGCGCGCCTCTACGAGGCGCTCACGCTCTACGGCGACGCCTGCGCCGCGCCCCACGACAACGTCGAACAGGTTACTTATAATTTAAATACTGCACTTTAAACTTAAATCCTTGCCAATATAGCTTCCAATCATTTGAATGGGGACTAATAATCTTCCGTTGTGCAGATGTCGTTAGTTGACTCTGAGGTAAATTTTTTTGTTACACAACGTCACAAAACAATGCCGCAGTGGTTTGCCCTTTAATTTTTTGCACCTTTATATCTCTTTTTTTATTTTATTACTTCTACTATTAGATTAAAAATAAATAATGTTTATTTATTTATTTTTAACCTAATATAAAATATGACTAATAAGTACAGAAAGAAACATTAACCGTTACATTTTCCGAACAAATTAACTTCCCCTCTATAAAATTCGTCAAATATTACGCCTCATTTTTAAGTGGCGGCGCCCTGGTGGCAGAAAAAGTCGTGAAAAGTGACTGAATCTGCGCCGCGGAATACTAACCTCACCTGAAACGATCTTATATTTCTTCCCAGGTAATGACTATACTCGCCGAAACAGATTGGGAAAAAGACGTTGCTGAATTGAGGCCCATAAGGAACGAGCTGTGCGATCTGATGAACATAAAGCGACCTGTTTTGAAACAAAAGACCCCTTAGGCGGAAATAATTGATTAAAAAAACTGATCTCGCTTAATAGCACATTGTAATGTGCGCTTTCTGCTTTTTAGCACTATGTTGCAAGCATCACAGAGTGATAATATTTATTTGTCAAGAGAATTTTGTTGCATAGTGCCTTAATAATTTTTAATATACCTGGTATTGAGAACTATTGACAGAAATTGATCGTATGTATGCAATGTAATTAATAACAACAATTAACAAAAATTATTTAGAAAAATGTGTCTTGACTTGCATTCATATTACTCCATCACTAAACCTGCTATGAAATAAAAATATATACTTTTATACTTAGTTTTTCTTTTATTTGTTCTTACATATTACAATGGTTCCTACAATAATTTACAATTAAATTCGAGAATACCAGCACCTTATCCTTAAATAGCAGTTTGATTACGTATGTATCAAACAGCTGACGTTATAAGTAAAATACAGGTATGTACCTGTATTTTACTTATAACGTCCAGCACCTTATCCTTAAATAGCAGTTTGATTACGTATGTATCAAACAGCTGACGTTATAAGTAAAATACAGGTATGTACCTGTATTTTACTTATAACGTCCAGCACCTTATCCTTAAATAGCAGTTTGATTACGTATGTATCAAACAGCTGACGTTATAAGTAAAATACAGGTATGTACCTACACTCATTATCTATATATAATATTTTTAAACATAATATCAATAAATCATAAAATAGATTTTCAACACCGCTTACTTGACCACATGCTCTGTACAGACTCGCGAGGTTATTTAAAAAATAATATCTATTGAAGTACACACTATAATGGTTAAAATATTGAACCAGTATAACTATAATTGAATCTCAACCTCATGTAAACTCTTTTTCCGCCGCGCTCTATGACTGATGCGCTGAAGCACAGCACTCGTGGTCAAGTTATAGCTTCTAATATTATTATTGATTAGTACATTACAACATTATTGTTCAAGATTTCAGCGGAGGATAACGCATCTGAAAAACGCATGCCACATCGCAAACTTTCAAATCTCAATATATTGACACGCTCTGGGATAGAGGGAGCCAGGAGGGCGATAGAGTTCACTTGGCTTAAATCATGAAGTTTTACATAGTTTAGTAAGACCAATCAGCTTAGTTCTACAGTTCATGGTGCAAAACCGAAGTATGAAAAATGGGATATGACCTGCACCATTTTAGTTTCATAGATATTTGTTATTTCTCAAAAACTGTTTTATAATCTTTATTTAATTTAAGATGGTATACACTAATGGCTATGAGCTACAACCTGGGACATTAACCTCAAATGAGTCACGACGTGAACCCTCTACTTTCTAATGGCTAACTTCAAATCAATACATTGCCATCTTAAAATATATGATGATTGATGATGTATGAACTTGTAAAATTAATATTGCCCAGCAAAAACAAACACTATACTAATGTTAAACAATCGCTGCCCGCGGTGCAATAAAATGGGGAAACAGGATGCCGCCTATTGCGCTCTCTGTCGCACTTATGTGCCTTACGGCAGTAGAGACGCGCACCACTGTCTTGTCGAAATATTATAAAAAAGTAAAGAATATCTATGCCTGGCGCACCGATAATTTATGGCACCGTTGGTAGCGAGTGTTTAACGTTAGTATAATTCATGATAGTAACATGAACCAATATCATCATAATATATGATATTTTTTAACCAAAAATCTGAAGCTGTCCAAGATCCTCTGGAGTGTGTGCAACTACGTTTGCCCAAAATGTGCCGTAATTCTTTAAGACTGTGCCCCTGTAAGAAAAGAAAAAAAAAACTATAAATGTTTTGACATATTAAACATTATTTTATGAGATGTGAATACATGCCATCTTAAAAAGAAGTTTATAGTTAGTCTCAGGTCTAAATTAGAGCCTGTTTCAATAAAGTACCGCGAACTATAAAATTTTAATTTGAAATATTCAAAGGCCTTCATTTTTTTTCCGTTTTTGATAGTTATCCCACTTTAATTCCAGCGGGTATACTACTGAAATTGTGAATCGCAATTTATATTTCAAATTTTCCGCGTGTTTGGGGTTGATAGAAAATAACACAAGGAAACCTGCATATATACAGGGTTGTTTTGCAATAACCGGTCAATATAGGCAAACGGTGAAGAAAAATTTATTTAAAAAAATCTAAAGGAGCGAAAGAGGTATGTAAGGATCGTGACACTTAGCGATCTGTTCTCTCTGGCTACCCCGTCAGGGATTGTGCATGAAGATAATAAAAATAAAAAAATCTCATACATTCTGTTTATTTTTTATATTTTAAATTATAAATGCGTGATAATGCATTATTTTAATTGATTTTACTGCGCACGCTCATATTCGTAAGGGTCGATCGGCAGGCAAAAATGTTCTCGTCCATAAATCACATTCAATTTGTAATTTCAAATAAAAGTAGAAACCTTATTTACTCGTATTTTTAAAAACTGCAATAGCGGTATATCATTATTTATATATTTATACTTAAGTTTAAAATTTGGCTACTCTTTAAAAAATAACCCTGTATGAAAAATAAGAAATATTTTGGGTTCTGATTTCAAAAACGGATTCCTCCCTGCTCCAAACCCTTTCTGAAATCTGAGGAGAACTGTGCCCACCAGTGAAACGTATTGCGTGTGGGTAACAGTGGTATGAAGGCTATAACTTAACATCACAGTAACCTTCTAGATACTGAAGAAATGTCAGATTTGAAACGATTTCATAATTTAAAGGTATATATGTATTTATGTATACTTAATTGATACATTAATATCTTGAGGTCGAGTAGTGTGAAGCACTTTTATGAGCGGTCATTATATATTCAGTGTTTCACAACATACATCAAACGGAGTGAAAGGAGTCTAGCATAAGGGTATCGGTCAACGGCCCCATTAGATCTGTACTAAGATCATAAATAGTTAAAGCTTATATCTTGTTCGTGGCTAAATAATAAATAAATAAAGAATTTATTTTAGCCTTAATAATATAGTAAATTTAACAAAATTAACCGTATATTGGCGGTATAAGAATACCCACTACATATCGTCCCGTGGGTGTCGTATCTGTCGCCTAACAGAGAGAAACTGAAACTAGGAATGGGCAGCAGCATGTTCCTGATAACCACTCAATAAAAAGTGCGGTTGCCAACCTGCATGCAAAGCGTGCCCACTAAACGCGTAAAACTATATATGGGGGCGTATACGTACAACAGGGGCCTCTATAATGAATAGAATAAAATAATTTTTTATTCAATATTGATTATTACATAATACTTATTGAAAGTCATTTTTATTTACCACTGGTTCGGAAAATACCTCACTCCTGGGAAGAACCAGCAAGAAACCCAGCGGGACTTTGTTTTTTAAACATAATTTCACTTAACAATAATTTTGTTTATAATAATAATAATAAATATTTATTGCCACACAATAATAAGTTTACAAATGAAAAGTTTACAAAGTAAGTATACACATAAAAATAATTAGACTTAAAATTTTTATAAAAAAATGAACATTCACAATATTACTCAGTTTACGATTATAATGTGAGGCAACGGGCACAGGCTCAGTATTCGCTGGGCATTATGCTCAGCACTGTTTTTCAGCCAGTCCCTGCTGTTGTGGGTATATTTTGGTCGCACGCACATCTTATTTAATTATGTATTGTTGGTAAACCTCTTTACAGTCAATATGTGTTAGATGAAAAAAAAAAACTTTATTACAGAATAAACATACAGTTATTCGGCCTAAAAAGACTTCTGTTTATGTAATAACTCCTTTTTAACCTTTTTTTTAAATGTTGCAAATGTAATATTAAAATTTTCTTTTAAGGGTGGTGGCAAATCATTCCATATTTTTGCGGCCGAATATTTAAAACATCCCCTAAAGTTTTTAGTCTTATGGCATGGAATATTCAGCATGTTTGAGAGTCTTTTACGTGTATTTACTTCATGAGCATTTTTACTCCAATCTAATTTATTGTATAAATACAGTGGACTTTTGTTACTAATAATTTTGTGGACTAAGCAAACCAAGTGGAGTTTCCTACGTGTTCGGCATTCCATCGTAGTCCTCACGGGTGACAATTCACCTGCATTTTGATTTGTAATCGAAGATAGAGGTAGATGTCTATGGGCCCAGCAACCACTTACCATCAGGTGGACTGTGTGCTCGTTTGTCACCCTATCCTATATAAAAAAAAATTGTTAATATCACATAATATTATAGTCTGTATTGTGTACTTACGTGAAGTAAACTCTTCCTTGTGAATCTGAGGGAGCTCTCCATACAAATGTGGCTCTGGTCTTCTCCCGAGGATCTGCATGGGTGATGGCTGAGCATTCCGGGTGTATGGTAGTATTGGGTGCTTCCTCCCACGAGCCTAACCATTCATTACTTTCTACAGAACGTGCTTGTATGAAGAATCCCTTAAATGGTTCAACACCTTCTATAGTAACTGAAATAAGAAAAGAAAAATTGCAAAGAAATGTATAGGCATATGTGTAACTATATTTTTACGTGATAGAGCCGCACTGCAGCTATATTATGGATGTAGAACGAATTGGTCGGCTCGACCGGGGAAGAACCATGCTCTCACAGAATAACAGCGTAAAATAGCAGCTTAACACTGCTGTGTTTCGTATGTTGAGTGTAGAGAACCGGTGGCTCTTTTCACTAGCAACGAGGCATTCCATCTTAGTCCTCAGGTTTGACAACGCATCTGTATTTCGATTCTTAATCGAGATTAGATGTAGATGTCTATGGGCACTGCATTCACTTAACATCAGATGGACTGTGCGCGTTTGGCACCCTTATTCTACATCCAATAGGTTGTGGTATTACCTTGTTCACGCCAGATGTATAAGTCAAAGGTGCGCAACGTCTTGCTCTGCGCTCTTCAATCCCTCTGTCAAGCGTACCGATTATACCCCCTCAGCAGGTAATAAGATCTTTCGGGAATTTCCCATAGCTGCAACTTACAACACCGACGAGAACGTAAATGGCATGATGGATTTTCTATAATCCACCATCACCTACTGGCAATGCTATCTTCTCACGGCAAGTTTGCTACCATATGTATTTTCTTTCCAATGTGCTTTAATACTAAATGGAAAAGAAGAGCTTACACTTTCTATTATTTATTTATTTTTCTTTCATTTACAACGGGGAGTGCTCTGAGGAATTGTTCGGATTAATTCAACTAAATTAAAATTTCACGAACGCACATCGCGTCAAAATTTACGATAACATCTTCACCATCTAGATGCTTGGCGGTACACGACTGTGCGTTTTACTAGGAGTTTTCTTCCTTGTACAACTTCTCTGTGGAACTGTTTACTACAGGCGATTTTTCCGGACCGATATGACTTAGGGACCTTCAAGAAAAGAGCTTACACCTTTCTAAAAGGCCGGCAACGCATCTGCAATTCCCCTGGTGTTGCAGTTGTTCATGGGCGGCGATAGTCACTTACTATCAGGTGTTTGTCATACCAAAAATATTACTCGTTTGCCCCCTCTTCTATAAAAAAAAAAGAAACGTAGTCATGTAAGAAAGCGAAGAATCGAAGCCCTAAAGACACTTATCATATCAACAACCCGCCCCGGCTCCGCCTGTATTAGTGTGGCGACATTTAAGTTTAAGATAATCATCAAATATCATATATTTTATCATTTTTTAATTTCACAAAAATTCTTCAAGTTCAAGTATATCATCCCGGACAGACAGACAGACAAGAAATTTTAAATTGGTTATTATGTAATGTTTTAATAGCATGCAAAGCTCGAAGACAGTTATTTCTATATTATAAACAAACAATTTTATTTTATTTACTTATAGAAGAAATACAATATTTACTATATACTCTTGTAATAGACTAAAATCGTCATCACCATGTCAGTTCAGGGTGAAATGTGTTCGCATGTTAAGTTAAGCAATCTTGGGCTTGCCTTACATCAGAGCTGAAATACATATACAGGTTGTTCCAGTAATGGTAGATAATCTGGTACGTACGTATTTGGGCGGGGGGAGGTGGCCTAGATTTCCTAACAAAAATTCTATCCCGAACGGTTCGCGGTCTACGCCATGTTTTATAAAATTCCGAAAATTCGTATTTCTCCGCAGTTTAATGCCTAGATCGGATTTTTTTCTTTTAATGTGTTCCACATGGCTTGCAACATGGCGAATGTGGGAGAATGGGCGAACCGTTTGGGGTACAATTTTCTTTTAGGAAACCGAGGCCACCTCCCCCCGCCCGAACACGTACGTACCAGATTATCCACCATTACTGGGACAGCCTGTATAACTACGTTTGCACTTGTTCTTCATCGAAAGTATAAAAACTTACTTACTCATAATCGTACAAGGACTGAGTTATGCATAGATCAGACACGTAACATAGGTAATATTTTTGGTATGACAAATTACTATGAAAACTTCATCTCTATGTTCTATAAATTTATGAGATAGTGCTATTCAGCAGCTATATTTTAATTGTAGCACGAATGGGTTGGCTCGATCGGGGAAGAACCACGCTTACGCTCTCACAGAATACCAGCGTCAAATAGCAGCTATAATGCTGCTGTGTTTCGTATGGCGTGTGTAGAGCACCAGAGACCGTTTTTAACGAACATGGCATTCCATCTTAGTTAAGAGGTGACAACGCATCTGCACTTTGATTCTTAATCAGGAATAAGTGTAGATCTCTATCTCTATGAGTCACACCATCCAATTACCATTATGGACTGTGTGCTCGTTTGTCATCCTTATTCTATAAAAAAAAAACCTTTAACTTTTATCCGCGGTTTCGCTCGCGTGGAGGTCGGAAAACTACATCACAGTGGAAAATCACAGCCAATGTATTATTCCAATACGTATGTCTTATATAATATGTAATTACAGAATTATTTCAAATCTGTCTCACCAGAGTCGTATATATTTTCGGGATAAAAAGTAGCCCCTTACGACACCCAAGAGACGATATAGGACAGTGGATATACTTACACCGCCACTACACGTTTAAAACCCACGTCAACTAATTCATTTTAGATCACACAAATACATGATGTGTGGGAAACGAACGAGTAAATAAATGCTTACCAGGCCCTGTGCTGTCGAGTAGAAAAGAAAGAGAGGGTAGAGAGAAAGCAAATAATATTCAATTAGGTAAATAATAATAACCATCATTAATATAATAATCCCTGCATGGAGGTACAAACCACAACTAGATTTCTCATGAAATAAGGAATCAAATAAGTTCTTTTTATCTTACCATAATAATAGGACATTTGTTGTAATAGGTCATATTTTCAAATTCGTGATAGAACTAGCCTTAGAGACTAATCTAACCTTAAACCGTTTTAAAGAACCGTAAACAAAATCGACCTACAATCAAGTTCAATCAGTCCCCAAATCGGATGTTGATTGAATAAATCACATTTAAATTCATTTTATCTATGTTTTACAGTTTTACTTAACAAAATAGGTATTTAGTGCTTTACACAAAACTACCATTTCGTCTCGTGAGTGTAGTAAGAAGTGACAATGGCAAATGTCAGAAAAATCTTAAGGCTTTTAATAGCCGATATTGGGTCAAAGGTTCAAGATGTCTGGTAGTGCGATTGCGATCGCCAGTCCGCTGGGAGTCCATGTTCAGCAGTGGAATTTTACGGGCTGATGATAATGAAGATAAAACAAAACTTTTTTACGTGTGTTTTTACTTTTTTTTTATAGGATTGGGTGACAAACGAGCACACAGCCCACCTGATGGTAAGTGATTGCTGTGGCCCATAGACATCTACATCTATCCTCGTTTGCGAATCAAAATGCAGATGCGTTCTTACCCGTGAAGACTGAGATGGAATGCCTCTTTTCCAGTATTCCGGTTCTCTACACTCACCATACGAAACACAGCAGTGTTAAGCTGCTATTTTACGCTGGTATTCTGTGAGAGCGTGGTCCTACCCCGGTCGAGTCGACCCATTGGTGCTACAACTATACTACTAATATAGCTGTAGCATGGCTCTACCACGTATATTTTGTATTTTTATGATAAAACTAATCTTACTCATACACTTTATGTATGAGTAAGATTTGTTTTATCGAAATTATATATATTTTTAACTAAAATTCGTAATTTAATTGTTTGAATAAAATGCTCACAGATCTAGATCAGTCAATCGATATAGAAAACGGATTGCCATAGGTTGCCTGACCTACAATACCATCAGAGGATCTTGCTCAATCGAACTCGCTCCGGTAAGGCCGGCGCGCGATACGTAGATACATAACTGCCCAGTTCACGATTGGTAAAGATTTTATCAATGAATGTGAATGTATTGCATGTCATCATGGTAAACCAATATTTAATATGATTTTTTAATTAAGGCTGCTCATTACCTGCTATTGCTACATATTTTATTTATTTACTTTCTAATTTAATAGTTATTTTACCATAGCATCCTAAAGTCCACGACCGAACATTTCTTCATAGGATACAAAAAAATAAAAAATGTTAATTCAGTAACATAAGTTTAAAAATTATACGTGTATTAAGTATGATGTATTATACTTTTTTTATATGATAAGGGTGACAAACGAGCACACAGTCCACCTCATGGTAAGTGGTTACTGTGGCCCATAGACATCTACAACTTTCCTCGATTACAAATCAAAATGCAGATGCGTTGTCACCCGTGAGGACTAAGATGGAATACCTCTTTTCCAGTAAAAAGGGTATCCGGTTCTCTACACTCACCATACGAAACACAGCAATGTTAAGCTGCCATTTTACGCTGGTATTCTGTGAAATCGTGGTCCTTCCCCGGTCGAGTCGACCCATTCGTGTTACAACTATACCACTAATATAGCTGCAGCTTGACTCTACCACGTAGAAAATTCTTTCGATTCCATGAGAAAGGACAACCGATCAAGCCAATAGATATATTCCTGATATTTTTACATTTACAGCTAATTACATATGAATTTGCCATAACTAAGTTTCCATTAGAAATTATTTTATTTTAAAGTTAGTTAATTAAAGTCAAAGGAACTCTTCCACTGAAAATACTTTAGTCATTTTAAATGGAAATTACGATATACTCGCGAAGCCGTGATGTGTTTAATGGTTTTGCAATTATGCAACAGACGTTGTGAGATTTACAACGTTATTTCAATAACAGTGAGCTACACTAATCTTCGGATCGTATTATGTGCAAGCGCCGTTGCAACCTGAAATTTTGGAGAGGGTCACTAATAATAAAATATGTCGAGTAAATTAGACTTTATTGCACAATACTTAATTTTATTACACACATTATAAAACAAATAGAAATCTTCTATTTTTATTGACAAATCAGTTGATAATATTTAAAACGTGTGGAGCTATCTCTGGATGAATATTTAGAAGAGTTAAACCTGTCAGTCTCTCTTCTAACATGTTTGCTCTTAACCAAGTTTTTACACGCCTTAGCGTAGAAAATGATCTCTCTGACGTCGCACCGCTTATAGGAAGAGTTGCTATAATTTTCAGCAGTCTTTATATTTGGGTAGAGATCATCGTCGCAAACTTCGACTGTGAAACCACACACTTAGGAAATTTTGTATCAGTATTTTGTTTGAACTCCCGTTTATACTTTCAAATCCATAGCTGGTACTCTGTAAAGAGAGTGGCAGCAGGAACACTCGAGGAATGCGAATAACTTTCTGTCAACAACTTCGGGAATTTAAAAATAAGAATAATTAAACGCAATAGAACCCGTAAAAGTAGTTTCATTCAGTGTGTAGTGTTCGCGTAAATATAAGAAATCATAACGTTCTGATACTTTCTTCACATTAAGAAGATCTTCTTTATATTCAGATTTTCGCATAAAAATGCCTAATCCGAACAGGTTCATCGTATCCGCAGAAAGTCGGTCCTGTAGGTCAGTCATTACGCTATCTGTCAGTGCAATATAAACAGTCCTCCGAAAATATTCCTCGTCATTTCCTTGATAATTATCGCGAAGAGTATGTTAGTAATTTTAGAAGATTTTTCAATTTGGCGTGTACGATTTGGGGGGGGGCGGTCATGTCCCCTGTGACCCCCTCCCCCCTTCGGACCGCGCTAATAAAGATTTAATATCCTTTAATAAATCTTTATTATTGATTAAATATCTTAAGGGGTTTCCCAAAACTCTTGGATATATATAATCCGTGTCATTTTAGTTTACCATATTAATAATTATGCTATTTACTATCACAAACTTGTAACTAATCTGTTTTTCATTCTGCGTTGCGGAACGATAGTGACAATAATATATTTGTTTGAGAGTGAGAGTAAGTGATGACCAAGCAACTTATTTGACTTTTAAAAGTTAATTATTGAAATAAGGTTCTAAACAAGTAAATAAATAATAGATACTAAGTTTTAAACCCAACCATTATAATTTTTATTAAGTATTTGTATGGCCTAGAAATAATTGTTTCGGGTCTAGATGTTTGTCGTTGTGCAATTTATGTATGTAAGTTGCCTTCACGATACAGGCATAAATCAAATGTAAACACAAACAAATTATCAAATTTATAGGTATTATTAATATTTATTGTATCATTTAACATAATTTATGTAACATAATCTAAATACAATTCAGCCTGCAGACATTTTCTTAATAAAAATACTAAAATTCTTATTATATACCTGGGTGCCGTGGACGCACATTCGCGTTCAGTAAAGTATAATAAGTTTGGTGGTAATAAATATTTACCAACCAACAATAAACGCTAAATTAATTTCTTACTTTAAAATAGCAATAGCTCGGATGTGAAGTTATAATCGTTTCATCATAAGTTTCTTGTATTTTTTTTTAATAAAACTAAAGTGATTAACGAATTTACAGTCCACCTGATTTTGTACAACCGACTTCAAGGATAACTAAAGATAACTGAAAAACTGGGATTTATTATATGGGACCACATGAGAAGCACCAGATTTCAAATAAAAAAAAGAGTCATCAAAATCGGTTCACCTCGAAAAATTTATGAGGTAACACACATAAAAAAATACATTCGAATTGAGTACCTCCTCCTTTTTGAAGTCGGTTAAAATAGGGGTGTACTCATAGAACACTAATACCCTTAGGCGGGGTGGTACCTACCCAGACGGTGACCTACCCACGTGATGAATCCTATCACCTAGTAAAAACCTTGTTTAATTAATTAATTAAAGATTAAAAGTAAAGGTATTGTAATTTAGTTATCTATTTTTTTAAGAGCCGTGGTAGCTCAGATGGTTAGCGCTCGCTTTAAATTTCACAGTACGCGAGCAACCCAGGTTCGATCCCCGCCGGCCCCAATGAAATTGTTAATTGCAATTTTAAGTGCTGATTTACCACATGCTCGGCGGTGAAGGAAAACATTGTGAGGAAACCTGCATGTCTGAGAAATAAGAAAAAAATTCGAAGACATGTGAAGTTCGCCAACATGCATTGGGACAGCATGGCGGATATTTCCTTGCCCTAAACACTCTCAGAAATGAGGAGAGGCCTGTGCCAGCAGTGGGACGTATATAGGCGGTAACTTTAACTTTTTAACTTTTATCTATTTTTTAATCAATTATTAATAAGTTATAAAGTGATTTTGTGTGTATAAAATGCTTGTATTCTGTAGTGATGATTAAGTTTTACATTTAATATAAAGACTGATCCTACGCTTTCTAAATTTAATCATTGATAAAAAGAGACTAGAACATAAAACCAATCTTATAGTTCTGAATCGTAAGCTAGGTTTCATTGAAGACATAGGCCATAGCGGCAATCACAATAGATCTTTTCAGTCTCAGTGATACTGTTCTTTCTACATGCTATGCTAATTCACTCTGGATTAGCGCTGTACGTCTACTTTACTCTTCCTAAAAAGAGCTCTGTATCAACGTTTCTATTTTGTCCTCAATGATCAGTACCCAGGCCACAATATCATTAAAAGAGCGTCATGTTGAAAATACTAGATAGCTATGAGTGCAAATTACAATGAATATATATGATAGTGTAAATTTACATTCAAGTTACTTTTTTTTAGCCCTTTTACAAAAGAGGGTTCTTGTGCTATATAAGGGATGAAGATTATATCTTTGAAAGAGCGACGTTATGCATACGCTGGAAGTACTGAATGGAATTTTTATTGAAGGGTGACAAACGAGCACACAGTCTATCTGATAGTAAGTGAACGCTGTGGCCCATAGACATCTATATCTATTCTCTATCAAAATAAACGTCTCGTTAAAAGTAAAAAGGATCTCCGCTTCTCTACACTCATCATACGAAACACAGCAGAATTTTCGCTTTTTTATATCATAAAATCTTATCAGTTTTATTATTTTAATAACGTAAAATAAGATAATTTGGGTCAGGCTGACTTGTTATGTATCTTCGTGGAGTATCAGTTACGAAAATTTGTATGTAACTGATACTCCACGAGTACAATTACTTATAATTAGGAATATATAACTTTTCTGCTCTGGGATTTTTTTTTATCAATATTAAATAATATAATATTACAAACCTGTTATGCGTGAATTTGGTGTGTAGTGAGATGAAGAAGCTTCCACTCTATAGGGTAGAGTTGACAATGGCTGTGTCCTGTGTTGACCGTGATTCGGTTGGTTGGGACGATTTTTCACACACGCGTCGATAGGAGCCCCGTCGGGAAAACAGTCAGCGCCTACCATAAGGCAAACTAGCGCTACTAATATTGTCGATATCATGATGAGATTGAAATAAATTTGAGAGCGTCGGGCAAAAATCCGGCGTGCGACTGCGAACGCGATCGCTGTTACGCTCACTTTTGTAAGCTATATTCGAAAGGGTCTAGAATTTAGTCGACAAGCAAACGATTTTTACCAACGATTAACTGTGACTCGTCTAGCCAAACTGTACGCGTCTTGTTGAACTCCTAGCTATTAGTCTTATTTTGTACAACAAACTCATATTCTGATTAATGTACAGCAGTAGACACATAAATAGGCACAGTTTGCGTAAAAACTTTTTGTTTTATAATAACTCGTCAAGTTAAACATTACCTAGTTAGTTCACTTCTTTCTCTTCTCTTTCATCTCTCTCTAAAGACTGTTCAAATATGTAAAAAGAAAATATAATTAATGTTTTTTTATTCAAGTATAAACTGGTGAATATACTCTGAAATAAAAACAATAAAATATTTACTTTTTTTCTTTCTTTTTTTAAAAAAGTCACCCTAATGATTTTAAAACGAGGGTGTAAAGTTCGTATGAAAAATATTATTTTATGACGCACAGCCTAAACCGTTGGACGTAAAAGCGTACAATTGGGACAATAGCTTCCTTTTATTACGTAGGCCCCACTAAGAAAGGATTTTGGAAATTTTAAACCCTGAAATAGTGTGTTATAGTTTATATGAAACTTTTATTTTACGGGGAGACTGACACAAACTTACTAAAGTAAGTACGTATTTTGCGATTTTTCTTAGCAACCCCTTACGGGGGGCCAGTGGTGTTCCAATTTGTACGGAGAAATATTTTGATAAAAATATTGTGTAAATACAATTGAATAAAAGTAACAATATATCCATTTTTTATTTTTTATTTTTTTTAAAACGTGTGTAGGTATAATAATATTTTATTTAGACGTACTGCCCAAACCACTGGATGTAGATGCGTGTAATTGGTCAGTAACTGCCTTTTATGACGTAGGCATCCACTAAGAAAGGATTTTAGAAAATACAAACCCTTAGAGGGTGAAATAGGGTATAGTTTGTACGACATTTTTTTCATATTTGTATTGAGAAAAATTATTCATTTTTGTAACTTTTAAATTGGCACAAATACTTTTAGATTAAAATAATAAGGTACGTATTTTTTAATTTTTCCAAAAATCTTACCTTAGTGTTAAGACGAGGGTATAAAGTTTGTTTGTATTTTTTTTAACTTGCAAGGTAATATGGCTGTGTTACCATTCAAACTTATGATAAATAACGTTTTAAGTAATATAGTTTTCTTAAATGTTTCTATGCGTTATATTGATAATGTTAAATCATTTGAGCAGTGAATGCTTCGATTTTAAATTTTAATACTTTTATTGTTTCTAACATACGCACTAATAATGTTCTTTTCGGTCATGGCGCCCAGTCTCAACGGAGATCAGCCATCTGTGCAGGTTATTGAGCTATTATACGTATGAACGTACCTTTAGGTAAAGAGTACTAGTGTTGTGTGATACATACGTAAATACCAAGTAAGTGCATTATATTTTGTTGGTGCACGACAGAATTATAGTGCACGAATGTTTGTGCAAGTACAAATGCACTCTCTATTGTGATAGTCCGATGCGACGGAAAACCGATGCAAATGGAGGGGAATCAAACCCAGGAGCAATGGCTTTATGTGCTTTCTGAGACATAGGGGTGAGACACCACCAACGTGACAGAAAACCATATAAATTTTTTCGGGCCCGTACATAAAGGCATTATAGAAAATTTTAATATGAATGCTAATATGGTGCCTCATAGTGTTATATAAATAATTGATAAAAGGGCTTGCTTATTTTGAGCCATTTCTCTGTTGTATGGGAACTAAAGAACATTTTTTACGTGGTAGAGACGCGTTGCAACTATATTATCATTATAGCACGAATGGGTCGGCTCGTCCAGGGTGGGATCACGCTTTCACAGAATACCAGCGTAAAATAGCAGCATAAAAGAGTACCGGATACCCTTCTTACTATAAACAAGACGTTCCATCTTAGTCCTAAGAGGGGAGAACGCATCTGCATTTTGATTCTTAATCGAGGATAGATGTAGATGTCTATGGGCAACAGCATCCACTTTCCACCTGGTGGACTATGTGTTCGTTTGTCACCCCGATTCTATATTAAAAAAATCGAGAGATAATGGATGACGTTAGAACCAAGGCCGATAGAACACTATTACTCCTGACCTACACCCAGAATTGTGACGCTTACGCAAGCGCTGAAGCTACACCGACATGTCTCAATCCCATCATTGGTGGTTCTTTAGAAACTGTTAGCGGCCGCATAAATTTTCAGTCACATATCTATCTTCATTATTTTTATTTTTTTTTAAACGTTACCTCCACACTAGGATTTTCTCCAGTATCGTGGGGACAGTTGACATACATAAATTTCACAAGGACAAACAGACACATCGGTCAGAGAACAGACTATCTATATCTATCTATATAAATAAAATGATATAGGGTTGCAGTTGTGCGCGCATCACGAAAGAACTACTGCATAGATTTCAATTAGGTTTTCTAAGTTTTATTTCTTAGACACTTGGCCCTTATCTAAAAAAAATATTGTGTTATCTTCATTTAATAGAAAGTTATTAAAGTTTTAAGAAACAACTATTTTTATACGGGGTTTTTCATACGGGCAACTTGTACGTCACTTGCTCTCGTGTTACTAACCCAGATAATTTATATATTTTAGCTACAAACAGAGCAACGAATAACATTGTTTACAAAGAAATTTTCTCTTTTTGATCTTTTTTACCTTCGCACATGCGATAATTTTGTTAATATATCAAACAATGCGGACGAAGTCGCGGGCTAGCTAGTTTGAAATAGGTGGGTCGCAATCGTGAACTTTACGTAACTGTTGGCGTAGAAGGTAATCCCGTCGGTAAACGAGGTTTTACAGTAGATAACCTCTCTAGTGATCATTTTGATTCTTATTTACAATATGAAACACAATCGTATAGTATGCCGAATTCGTTTCTTGGTTCGTTTATGGGTCCGTCCGTTAGTTCGTTTGTGGGCTGGCTGTTAGTTCCTTCATTAGTTTGTCTGATTGACTGAGTAATTGAATTCGTTTTTATCAAGAATAGGGTCTTAGCGATTAAAAGTAAAAATAAATCATCATCACTTATAGCAACAAAACAAAAGTATTAATTACACGTGAACGAAGTCGCAGGCGCAGTTAGTCTATACAAATAAATAAAATTGAAGTGTCTGTTTGTAATGCTTAATAAGCTTTTTACTAATTGCATATGAAAGTATGTACGATACTTATAACAAAAACACAATTTTTAATATTTTTGTCTGTCTGTCTATCTGTCTGTCTGTCTGTCTGTTTGTTCCGGCTAATCTCCAAAACGGCTTGACCGATTTTGACGCGATTTTCACTGGCAGATAGCTCATGTTAGAAGGAGTAACTTAAGCTACTTATATTTTAGAAAAATATTTAGGATTCCATTCTACAAAATTAGAACCCTAAATTACACACGGGCGAAGTCGCGGGGAACAGCTAGTATACAATAAAACAATAAAAATTCAATTGCTGCAATTCATTGCTGTTTTATTCATCAACAAAAACAATTTTATTTTCGTCGTTTCTGTTGGGACTAAGAATTTCTGGGTCTAGCACTACATCACTTTTATCGATGTTTTCAATGTAATGCATTATATCACTAAACATATTTTCACAGTCTTCATATTCTGACTCGATTCCACTACCACCGTCTTTAACAAAGTCGTTTTCATTAGCTCTTATATGAATTTGATTGCTTTCATTTTTTGACGTAGCTACCGAAATTGTTTCGTCATTCTGATTTTTTGTAATGTCATCTTTTGTGTTGTTAGATTTAGATAAGTGTTCCGTATCTTGCTTACTTAAAGAATTAACGATACAAGGTGACGAAAGTTTTATCCAATCTGGGCATCCCATAGAAACATTTGAACCTTTAGGGAATCTGTAATCGTCGTTTGCATTAGAATCCCTATTAGCAATGATCCCCGAATCATTATCTGGATCTGATCTACTAAGATAATCGTAACCTCCATTTGTTAAACCGTTATCAATAGTTTCATAAACTGGATCTAATATTTCAGCAAGTCTCTCGCTGGCTTGTATTGATATTATTTCAGCAACGTGAAGTTTCGGTGTCATCGACGTGTATTGGTCTTTTGGGTCGTCAATGTTTTGTGATTGTAAATTAGTGCTGTAGGTGATTCTTCTGTTAGAATTCGGATCGAAGCTCATACGAGGATTACTGGAGCCACGAACTCGTGAGCTTACTGCGTTCTCTGTTTTTTTGTATGTCGCCTTAACTAGGGCATGCACCTGCAAATACAGTTACGAATATTGAAATTAATAAAATATATAATATGCATTTCCTATTAATAATTACAGTTCATTGGTGAAAAAAACTTATATTTTGAAAGTTTTTTGATAATTACTCTATAATGTGAGCATGTATAGATCACCTCTTAAATGGGCATATCATTTTTATTATGAATGCGTGTGATCTTAAGGTGCGTAAGATCTGAAGGTCTAAGTTAACATAAAAAGATAAAATTAAACTTGAGTTCTTTATTGAATTACTAAGAGCATATTAAATTGATTTAGAATAAATATTATTCTTTTTATTTGTTGTTGTGGTGGTTGTGTAAATATGTGTCACTTATTTTAGCTATATTCCTACGCGGTAGAGCCACGCTGCTACTCCAATGTGGATTTAGCACAAATTAACCCATTCCAACGAGGAATTTCATTTTATTCAGGCGTGACAACACATCTGCATTTTGGGCATTGATTGATGATAAATGTATGGGTCTATGTGCTGTGCTATGAGCTACAGCGTTCTATGTGCTTGTTTCATACACTTCTATAAAAAATTGACCATTTATCACCAATATTATACTCATTAAATATTGTAATGATATTTTATTATCATTCGAAAAACGTGATTATTTTACGCTTGATATCAGCT